AAGGAATAAAAAGCAAATCAAGTAGAAACAGCAGAGAATCAGCAGAAAACAGCACTCACGTTTGAGGTCCAGCTTGGTCCCGCCGCCGAACGTGATCCACAGTGGTTCCCCTAAACCAACCCTCCCTACAAAAACTGAGTTTCCCTTCCTGACAACTGAACAAGTCTCTGTTCAGAACATATAACCACGTTCTCCCAGAAATTGGTGAAATTACCACATAGACAAGATATTTTCACCCAATACAAAAAGAAGACCCATACAAAGGAATAAAAAGCAAATTGGTTAGAAAACGCAGAAAACAGCACTCACGCTTGAGGTCCAGCTTGGTCCCGCCGCCGAACGTGAACACACAGTGGTTCCCCTAAACCAACCCTCTCTACAAAAACTGAGGTTCCCTTCCTGACAACTGAACAAGTTCAGAACATACAACCACGCTCTCCCAGAAACTGGTGAAATTACTGCTTATCACCCAATACTGGGACTGAATAAGTGCAGATACAAGTACAATCCCTTCTCACCTTTATTCACAGACTACCTTTGCCTAGGAGGAAGCCAAGGGCTGCAAAAGTTAGTTTTTAGATCATTTCATAGACACAGGAACCACAAAACACAGATAGGTGAGGAAAGAGAGTTTGGATTCTACTCACGTTTGAGTTCCACCTTGGTGCCTCCTCCGAACGTCCACCACAGTGTTAACTCTCCATTGTCTCACTGTACAAAAACCTCGTCACCCAGGGGAACAGGGCCCTGGGCAGCTGCTGAAGGTTCGTTCCTATTCAAGCAAGCATGGAGATCCTGGAGTGTCTCTGATAGAAAATGTTTGCTTTTCAGATGAGATCTAAAATCATAGAAAATGATAGTTTTATGTTTATGGCCTGATCCTTCTCCTTAACAATCTACCACATATGGACTATTGATTTAAAATTTGTTATTGAAAACAGGTTGAAAGTTAGTTACAAAGAAAGATGAACAAGTTGAAAAAAAAAATATTACCCTTGAAAAAAATCCCCCTCCTTGTTCTCCTGGAGCAAATAATAAACCTCATTCAATGTCATTATGGAGCTCTTTAGCATCAGTTAGTAATCAATGTCTTCTCAAACAAAGGTGGTAGAGTAAAAATGAAAACAATGAACAACTATAAGCCAGAGATACTTTATGGGGGCTTTTAGGGGGAATGGGATCAAAACTGGGGTGGGAAGAGTGCACTGGAATGTGGTGATGGCACACGGGTGAATTGGTGGTGGGAAGCCCATGGGGATTACAACTGAGATGAAAAAATGCACAAAATGAAGAATGATGTAAAAAAATTAAAAATCAATATATATAAATAAAATGAAAAACACACACACATAAAGAACATAAAGAATGTCACTGTGTTGTTGCAAAAAAAAAAAAAAAAAAGGTTAGCTAAATATGCATCAAATCAAGGCCAGGGTCTTATTTTGGAATGTATTTTGGAGTGAAGTTATAGATGACATGTGTAACAAGACCAATAGAGTACAAGTAAACTTCACTGTCTTGAAGTTCATTCTCACAGGAGAGGTAGAACACACCATGTTTCATTGAGTTGTCTCCAGTGTATGCGTCTTTGGCTGCCAGGGAATCATAGGGTTTCCTGACGTTTTCAATGATAACCCATCAAGGGCACAGAAGACCTCATTTACTTCACTTACTGCAACTTTTGTTTGCCTCTTAATTTTCCACCCCCTTCTTAGCCCCCACCATCATCAACTCTTTCCCTTTTTTCTATAACCTCCAGCTATTTTACAAAACACTTCTTTTGCTTAGAAACATCTTTGCATGCCAGCATTAGCTTGTGAACAACTAATAGTCTTTCAAAATGACTTAAGAGAGATCTTTTCTTAGATTACCCCTAAGCAAGAGACCTCACTTTGCAGAGGACTTTGAGTCTAGCTCAGCAAATTGCATTTCTCTGCTGTCAGATTCTTCCTATCTTACTGGATTATACATTGTTTGGTGTTTTATCTGTCTTGTTTTTTGGAAAGCCCTGACCAGATGTTCAATAATAAACACATCCAATAATTATTTGCAGAATGAATAAAACAGCCAAACCCCAACATTGGGTAATAAAAATAAAAAAAATAGACCACAGTTGATAAATTATAATAGACCAAGAAGTAACCACTACAGCAAGTTTTACAAGAGAAGTTGTAACTATAATTCTGAAGATTAGGATTAAGGTTTTTGATTCTGTCATTGGGAATTTTGCTAGTTTCCTTGAATAGCAAAATCAACAGTGGTTCTCATCAGAGAATGAGAAAAGAAAGGAATCAAGCTGGAGGAAGGGAGGAGAGAAAAATTGGCATGTGGGAGTTAAATGGACAATTTAGCTGACCTAGGATATATTCAACATAGAACCTAGTGAGGGTTGAAATTGATTTTTCTCTGCAGAGACACCCAAACAATTGTTCACACCTATGGGGCACTGATAAAGTACCAAATGTTAGGCATGGATCACTATATTTAATTAGCTCCAAAATCTAGGCAAGAGAAATTACTATTATTCCCTGTTTTATATTGAACACAGCAAGTAAACACTTATAGTAGTAAGTGGCAGAGCTGGGATATGAACTTGAGCAGCTTATTGCAAAATTCTGCCCTTTTGGGCTCTCCCTGATGGCACCCTGGGTTAGTGCAGCACTGTGAAGCTAGAGGCCGCCTTGGTGTGAGTTGGTGATTCACTTGGTGCGGCAGACCTCTCCTGACCCGCCCGCTGCTCCCTTCATCTGCCTGTTCTGCTCCCCACTCTGTCTCTGGTGAAGGCTCTCATCGCCCCTGCACCTCTGGCCTGTACCCCAGTTCTGTATGCATAAATATATAAATCTTAAAAAAAGATTCTGCCCTTTAAGCCCTGGGAGCCAAGCCACCTGGTGGAAGCAACATGCCTGGCACAATTGACTGGGCTGGGAAGGAAAAGGAAACGCCACATGCTGTCCGAGGGTTCTGAGTAGGTGAGTATGTCAAGTGAATGTGCAAGACTTCTCATTGTTGTTGAAAAGGTGTTGAAGTTTTGTTCAAAAATGGAATATAACTAGCATCTTTATCAAGAGGAATTTGATTACACTAATTCTGACAGAGCTTTGCAATGGAGCACCAAGCAGCCAGGAAGACGGAGGTTTCTACGCTGCACATGAAAAGTATTTGTGAAAATACAGGCCACCCAATATAGGCACCCTGAGATATCACAATCCCATTTAAGTGGAATCTATGTAGATGTTTGGTTCATTCCTAAAGGAACTGCAACCGACTGTCTCAGTAGGTTCCTCATGGATGACAGAGGCGTCTGTGGTGGAAGAAGGAGTAACAGGGCATTTTCTTTTGCTACACTTCCATGTATTACAGATTATTTGATTTTTAAGACTTGTGTGTATACATTCATTCTGTGGTTTCTAGATGCAGC